CTTGGCAAAATACATCACTTCACCCTGAGATTCTCTAAAGGAGAATGAAAATCGGTTGTTTTCCTGTCAGATGCTTTTAAGCTCAATTTTCTGCCCTGAAGGGTTACAGCTGTTGCTGCAAGTAAATAGGTGGCATTAAAAGATGAAGGTGGTAGCTGCACCCTGCTTTTACTCTCGAGCTCTGGAGGAACTACGATGCATCTCTTCAGTACTTTGTAATACTTCCTGAGCTCCCTAGGATGTCATTACACACAATCTGGAAAATATTTTTCTAAACTATGGTCTTGGCTGTGTTATGTATCTCTTTATAACACCATTTAAAAGGACTTGAGTAGCACAAAAGTGATCTTAAAAACAAACAAAAAGAAACAGGTCTTCCCCAGCCTGGCCCGTGCTTTACCACCTTCTCCCCAGCTCACTGTTCAATATTCTGGCCAAGCACTAAGTGAAGTTTTGCTTTCTCTGGTTATGAAGGAGAGTAGGAGGCATAACATTGCGGTTTTTTTTTGTTCCCCCCACCCCTTCCAAGGTGTTGCATGACTGGTCTTTTTTGAAATAGCTTGAAAATTCAATGTTTTGAAAGTAGCTTTTCTGTTTTATGTTTTGTGTATTTAAATTAATATTGAATAGTCTGATGTGAGCTATACAGTGATTCTTAGCTCTTTTGGCAAAAAATGATCATACTTTCACCTTTATAGTTCGCATTGCTAGTCCTTCATAACCAAAGTAGTAGCTGAAAACTCTGGAGTGGTTTCATGAGTCAGTTACATGGCCCTTACTGCACTGATGGAAAGAATGGGCTCAAGTTAGTACTCGGTGTTTTATATAGAATTTATTAAAAATTATTTATTTAATAATTAATTATTAAATTATTTTAAATTATATTTTTAAAATAAATATTGCTAAGCATAAGTTTGTGAACATATTGTCAAAACTGTTTTCACTTTTCATTCTATTTCCTTTTAAAAAATATATTAATACGGCTATATTTTATTGTATATTTGGAATAATAGTGTTGAAAACAGTGTTTATGCTGTGTAAGAAGAACTGCAATAACTACTGTATTTTCTTTGGTATAATCTTGATGGTTTTATTTCTGTTTATCTATTATGTTACACTGTACTCAGGTATAGCAATGAACTATCAATGAAGTAAGCTTGAGAGCCTAACAGGACAAAATGTGTAATAGTTTTATCTATAGAATCAAGTGGGACTATGTGAGTTGCCAAAGGTCATACAAAGAATTCGTGACCAGGGGAGTAGAACCTTATGTTCCTTTTTTCCAAATCTTGTAGTTGAACTATACAGACACCTGACATACGTATTTCTCAGATATTTGTTACAGAAATTAAGTCCTCAGATACCACTCCTAGATGTTGGCCCTCTATTGTCAGATAACAGTCTGATAAATGATATGTTGTTGAAGCGTTGGCGCTTGTATTTTAATGACACATTTCTGCAAATTTTTCTATTTTCTATAGTACTGTTTTTTCTTCTGTATGTTTTGATCAATTTTGCTTTAAACATGAGATACTCTGTTTGTTTAAAACTTAGTTTAACACTTAAAATTGTTTTCTATTTATAATTAAACTGTATTTGCATGCGTTAGTACTGTACCCTTTGATTTGGTGTATTTAGACATAATTTTTTATTAAATAAGAGATTAGATTACTGTAAATAGGAAAAATGTAGGGTAGTCTTTCTTTTTTTTTTTTTTTTTTTTTGAAAACAGAGACGGGATAAATTGAGGCATAAAACTTCCTAGAAATTCGTATATCAGGCAGGCCTTTTTTCATGCTGTATTTGGGGAGGAAAAAAAAGTGGACATGTGCAGAAACTGTGAGTACAATTAGCGTCAAGCAGATAAATCCAACTCTAATCCTGTTTACGCTCTACATCAGACAGATGTGCTGAGATTGATTTAGACAAGCTCTTGGCTTATAGTAATTTTTTTTTAAGTGCCATATATTCTGTTTTTGTTAGGTCTTTGTTAAATGTTAAGTGCTGTTAGTTTTACTCTTCCTAACGCCTGTAACCTACTTTATACAGGTTCCCTCTCAGCTCTCATGATGACAGGGCAGCCTGGTAGAAGAGATTATCTTTATTCCTTGTAATTAAATTGACTTTTTTTTTTTCAGAAGATACAACAATGGGAAGTGGGTACTGAATTAAATAAATAGCATGATATCTAATAGATGTATACTTAAATCTCTTGCAAGAACAGATGGTACCCAATATCTTTCTAAGTAATGTGAGAGGACAGTTAATGTCCTGAAACAGCTAGCAATAACCAATATGATACTAACAAACTGATTGTGTTGGTTTTTTTTTTTTTAAAGTTTAAAGAAGTGTCTAATGCATTATGTACTTTATTTTTAAAGTAAACTTGGTTGTTACTACCTGTTAGAGATATTTCATAATAACATATGCAATATATTTATAAATATACTTATATGTACATATTCATAAATATATAAAATATATACATATAACTCATGGCTTAAATTTTCATCTGAGTTCTTTTTTAAATAAAAATTTACTGTATTTGTGATGATCTTATTTTCAGTAAAAATGGAAGATAAAAAATTGTACAGTGGGCCTAAGGCCTTGCATGAAAACTTTTCAACTGTAGTAAAAATTGCCTGTCCTGATCATACTAACACATTCAATATTTCCTTTACAATGTAAAACTTGAGGATGATGCTTTTGTATGATTCAGTATTACTATAGAATCACAGAATCACATAATTGTCTAGGTTGGAAGAGACCTCAAGATCATCGAGTCCAACCTCTGACCTAACACTAACAATCCTCCACTAAACCATATTGTTAAGTTCAACATCTAAACATCTTTTAAAGACCTCCAAGGATGGTGACTCCACCACTTCCCTGGGCAGCCCATTCCAATGCCTAACAACTTTCAGTAAAGAAGTTCTTCATAACATCCAACCTAAAACACCCCTGGCGCAACTTTAGCCCGTTCACCCTTGTCCTGTCACCAGGCACGTGGGAGAACAGACCAACCCCCACCTCTCTACAGCCTCCTTTAAGGTACTTATAAAGAGCGATAAGGTCACCCCTGAGCCTCCTTTTCTCCAGGCTGAACAAACCCAGCTTCCTCAGCCGCTCCTTGTAGGACTTGTTCTCCAGAACCCTCTACCAGCTTCGTCGCCCTTCTCCGGACTCTTTTGAGCACCTCTATGTCCTTCTTTATAGTTTATATACTTCTCCAAGCTGTATTTGAAAATGTGTTCCAGTAGAACAGCTGGAATAAAAATACTATTTTTGAAAATGTAATGCTGCCTAGTAAGAATGGATTATTTTAATTTTCAAAATTTTTATGTGCATCTAAGCAACACAAGACTTTGACAAATGTAGAGGAAGAGGAAGGTTTAAAAGCAAATAAATATCTGGCTGAAGTAGTAGCATGAAGAGACAAGATGAAATGGGCCTTAGCTGACTGATAACTAAGGTTATATTATGGAAATTGCTAGCAGAAAGAGAGTATTGGAGCAGGCCTTCATTTTATTGTTTCGTGCAGGACAAATAGACTAATGTTTGTAATCTATTTACGGTTTGTACACATAACATTAGCACAACAAAATTAGTGATGCTCTCAGCAAAGCTAATATTCCAAAATGTTATTTAATTTAAAATATTTAAAAAGCAAAGCTTATTTGTACTGGTCTTGGTGAATAACTGCTGGGCAGCTGCTATTATACTTCTTATGTCTGCTTACCCAAGTTCCTAAAACACTGTGTGCGTGCTGGAATGTCCAGTGGTCTGTGTGTCTGACAAGTGTTTCTGGAAAAAGATGAGTAGACCTCCCCATTGAAAATGCTGTTTTTATAGTCAAGATGGGTCTTAAATAAGCATCTGTATCTGTAGTTATAGAAAAGTGATTGAGGATGTTGTGAAGTCTTTCATTTAAGGTCTACAAAGACTCCCCAGGTGTTTTAGAGGAGCGATGTAGAGTTGGTAAGAATCCAGCTCTCAGGTTTGGTGCCTTGGGCTGCAAGGGGCTCTTTATTGGTCTATTGGTTTATTTGGTCACATTGCATCTGCTGTAAACACATAGCAAAGAAAGTTTGCTTTTCCTGTTCAGAATATCTGACTCCTACAAGAATGTTGACTTTTTTCCTTCAGTCTGTGTATTTGAATGGGTTTGGTTTTGAGGAATTGGGTGTTTTACAGCTTAAGAGAGCAGAAAAGGAACAGAATAAGCCTATACCACAGTGGCTTAATTATTACACCTCCAAAAGGCATTTGCAACTAGTGCATGACACCATCAGCAACCCAGGGATCTGTGTGTATGTCAACCCCAATACAAGAAAGCCTTCATTTCATGTTCCAGGCTGACATAACTCTCTCTGGGGCTGAGGGTTTTGAACTGTCACAAGCACTTTTGAAACTGTTTTTCTTGTCTTCTAAATTAAAATCAAACGCGTAACTTGAAAATGAAAGATGAGATGGGTGATGTGTGTTTGGTGTATTTTTCTGGTTTTGCACAGCTGTTTTCTGATCTCTTTCTAGTCTAAACCCAAAGGGCAGCTGTAGTATCAATTGGAAAATTAAATATATATATAATTAGCTATATTTGTATAGTCAGCTTGGGTCTTATTGCACTTTCTGATTTCTGAGAGAGGTGATTCAGAAGAAGAGAATGAAAAATTTGCCTTGTGACTTAAATAACAACACAAAAGTTGGGGAGGTGTCACTTTTTTAGAGCCTCAAATTTGTTTTAGTTGTTTGAATCAAAAAGGGATACTATAGCCACTTTGAAATTGTGCTATTTGTATAGCAGGGTACCTAAATAATAGAGTTGGTAAAATATGAGATCAGAGATTGACGTGTGTGGTATGCAATAAGTTTCAATATAGGCATGAGCAGATGCAGCAAGTGAAACTATAGGTGAGGCCATAATGGTATTGTTGTTTTTTGTTTGCTTATTTTGATTTAGATATTACTCTTAGTTGGTAACTTTTTTTTCCTCCCTACAGGTGATTCCAGTACGGTTCTACAGGATGAAGAGGAGATTGTTGAGATGAAGGATGTATTTTCAGTCAAACTAAAACGCCGTCGTTTTGTGGGACAGAAAAAAGGTGGTACTTTATTGGGTATCACTATTTTTAAATGCTTGCATAAAGAAGAAAATAAACTAACGGACTGTGCTGTCCATTTAAACAACTTAAGTGAAGACCACTGTAATTCATGGTTTAGACATCTAAAGGAAATTTTGAATGGTAAGCACTTAATCGGGGTTGTTATTATTTCAGACTTCTTTCTATTGGTGATGCATAAGGTTGAATGATTTTTAGAAAAAATATTTTGCCTGTAGAAATTAAAACACAAACGTATGAATAATGTTGTTGGAAAATGCTGTACACTACCAACGTTTGACATGGTGAAGTATAAAATTTAACAAAGTGACAATGACTAAAGCATGTTTAAAAAAAATAAGCTGATGCTATATTTTGGAAGTGTTCAAACACTGAAAATAAGTAGCTGATTGCTTTCTGACTGAAGAGTCTTTTGAGAAATCTGTTTCTTTAACAAAATACAATGTTGGTGCTTTCACTTGGAATTGCTGCACATGTAATGGTACTGGAGTTGTTGCAGCACAGGAGACCCTTCAGAGACTGCCCAGAACCTGTTTAGGAACTCCCGCCTGAGACCCACAGACTCTTAGAGGCTAATGGGAGAGGCTTCCTCCTCATAATATTATCACAGGTGAAAGGGCTCTTAAGGCTCTGTAGAACTTTTACTGTATAATTTGATACCAGTTTATTGACGCTAGTTAGTGATGAGAGGCAGTTCTTTATTTAAAAATATTTTTCTGTATGCTATAATAATTTCAGGATGCTTTCTTAACCCATGAAAGTTGTATTTTTCATGTAAGTTGCATCAAATTTAAGAAATTAATATTTACTTTTTAGGGTGTCTGTGTAGGGGGGAAACAGCAACCCAAAACAAAAACAAGCCAAAGCCTTTCACTGTAATTTAATGCTATGAATTTTGGGAAGACACAGAATATAGTACACTTGTGATTTAAAACAAAAAAAACAACAACAAAACACAAACCAAAGTGTCTGATTTATCTCAAAATTGTTTCTGTTTATTGACTATAGCAAATGAGTTTCTACATTACAGAAGAAAAACAATCCTTCTTATAATAGATTATTAAAACTTCAGCCGAATTGTTAATACTGAGACTGATTATGGAATTCAAGTTTTACACATCTGTACTGTTTGTAACAGCACTTCCAGTAGTGATTTATAGCGTTCTTCTATTAAAGTTAAGCAGAAATAGAGAAAACGAAATAATGTTCATTAAGTGTGCATACATACACTACTTCCAATATGCTTTGGATTTTCCAAACAAAATTGTGTATTAAAAACTGCCCCCCCTTGCCCCTCTTGAAAGGCTTTATCAGTAAATATCTAAATCTGCAGAAGTGCCAAGATTCTTGCAGATCTCTAGCTACCCATAAAGGCAAGGACATTTGCATACGGAGCAAATGTCTGTTTTGTTCCCAGATTACCCTCCATCCATCAGGAGCAGTGATACCATATGTTCACAGAAAAAAAGAGGCAGTATCTCTTGCTCAGGTTGCCTTGACTTCGAGGTGCAGTCTCTGTTTTATAGCTTTGTAATTGCAAGCCACCTGAACTTGAAAAAAGCATTCTGTGCCATGTTGCTCTTTCTGGTTCTTCCTTCAGCTTTCATCTTTCTTCAGAAGTCAAACCTCGTGCCGCTTTTTCTGGATGTCTACTCAGTACATTTTTCTCCTTGACTTTTACTTCAGGAATAATCAGGACTCAAAGTGTGTTGGAAAAAATATCCAAATGCAAACCCCACAATACTGTTTACTAATGTGTACATTGTTCTGAGTTCTGCAATTGTAGTAAAAGTAGTTTTTCACACTATTAGATTTTGAAGACTGAGTAGGTATTCAAACTGCCTTTCTGTCTTTTTCAGAAAATCAGCAAATTGACAGCAACATTTCTACACTGAGTGTGGCAGAAAGACATTATCATTAATTCAAACAGTGTTGATATACTAACAATATAATTCAGGGAAAATTTTTTATTCTAACTTAAAATGTGCCAAACATAGGCAGGAAGGCCCCAGTAGCATACAACAGATCAAGTTCTGTTCTTTCTTCAGTAATTAAAGTCTCAAAAGGTTCATTGCATTGATATATCTCTGCTTATACATAAGCTCTGCTATATAATCCTGCTATATCCTTATATTTAAGGATATATCCTTACAGACTGCAACACAAAATTAAAAGTCCATCCTTCTAAAATAGTCAAAATTGAACTGTATTTCTTTTTCCTAATGTGTCTTGTCAGAATGTAAGTTTTCATTAACTGCTGAACTATTTACCTGAAGGATTTTTATTGCCTCTAGGATGGAGCAAATTAAAAGCAGGTGATCTACCGAAGTAGAGTGTCTGTATGCTTAGGTACAGCTGTCAGTAAATACGTATTTTCATTTGTCAGAATGACTAAATGTTACTAAAAGGTGCATCTCTGACAACTGAAAATAAATACAATTTCTATTTGATTACCTTCTTTTTTTATTTTTTTTTAAGCATTCATCATTTCTGTGTGTGTGTGTAATAAGGTAAAAAGCGTGCTACTGTCTTCCCACTTCTAAAAAAAATTTCTTATTTTCTACATATAAGTGCTGTTGTCTAGACGCACGCCTGCGAGATATTAAGAGCTTGCTCAATGATATGATGTTCAAGAAAACTTTGATCTGTACATTGCTTATTTGTTAAACTGATGTAAAATGACTGCTTCTACCTTTAGGCATGCACCTTTGGAGCCCAGATTCTGCATTGGCTCCTGGAAAGCCCCAAATGGCAGCTTAGACATTTGTTTCTAGTCTGGTGTTGTATGTCAGACCTATTGTGCACCTGACTCACAGTGATTTCCATTTATACATTGCATCTTTCTGTGCTGGGCTTATGGGCATGTGCTGTAGACATACTGTGTAAGTAGAATTCACTGCTTGATTTGGAATCCTCTCTGCATGCAAATGTCCAGGGCTACTTAAAGGGTTAAGACAGCCCTGGAAATGGGAGAAAAGGGACAATTAGCAATGCTTACCTATTCTTTTTTTTTTTTTTTTTCTTTAGCCGTGATGAGTCTTATTCTTGTTAACAGTGTTGATTTGAAAGAGTTTCACTTAAAAACTCTGTAAGTTAGCAGAAGACAATACTGTTAAGAATAAATGATGAAGTTAACTAAAAGTACCTGAAGTACATTTTATTTTTATGTACCATTCTGTAGTATCTCTCTTGTTCTGGGATTTGATACGAATGTCTGAAACTTCATGCATGAAGTTTTAATTAAACCATTAATGTTAAACATTAACTTTGCTTAGTTAATATTAACAGTGGTGTCTCCATAGTTACATTAACAAATGTTTCATATTATTAGTTTTCCTCATGTATAATATTGTTACTGCTGTATAAAGTATTTATAAATGCATGTAATAACAACGTGATTCCAAGCTCTTAACTTTTGTAACATAAACCCATTTTCATAAAACTAAGAACTGAAAGCAGCACAGATGTATGTCTGAGCATAGCGTCTCTGCTGCCCTCCGAGCCTTTGTTTTCAGAACACCCTGATTGACCCACCACCCTTCATGGTTCACTGATTCACTTGATAGATCAAGTTTAAACTAGTGCATATTAGCACATTTGTTAGTACTAGAGGAACAGTTGGCCTTCCTGCTTTAGGCTGCAGGTTCATTTCAAATGGAGCAGCTACAGAAAACAATAACAGAATACCAGTTAGGACAGCACCAAAAGGCTGACAGACTGAAATGCAGGCTCTAGTAAATAAGATCAATTCATTCACAGTGTTGTTTAAAGAAAGTTAAAAGATGATTATTATTTAAAAATACTTAAGAGCTTTCACTATATATTATGTGTTTCATACTATATTGCGTGAAAATCTTGCCTTTGATTAGGGTTGGATTTTCTTTCATTACATCCAGTTGTTTGTTACATGATCATTGCACTCTGTGAATGATAACTAATAATTTTTGTCAGGATTATCCATTCATGTCTGTTGGCAATCATTTGGCATGAAACCACATGAGTAGTGTACCATCTCTCTGCTCAAATGCCACTGGTGAAATGAAAAAGAAATGAGTACAGATTTGGTCTTCCATCAAGAGCCTTTGGAATGAACCTTTGCTTGTGTCCTTTCATGATCGTATTGGTCACTTTTGTATAATGCTTCTTTGCTCTTTTGGCAATATAAGATACTGCTTCATATACTCAAAATGTTTTTTATAAAAACTTACCAGCAAGCATTTAAAGATGAAACTTTTTCTCTTAGGGTTTTTTCAAGTTAGCAGTGGTGGTGCATCAGAGAGAACTCATCAACATACCATTTATAGGGGAAAAGTGTTGTTGCCTTACTCTTAAACAGTCTGTGTGTCTTCTGCTAATATCACTTAAATATGAGAGGGAGGGAAATTCTGTAACTAATAAGATTGAGAAGTTACTGCCTTATCTTTTTCTTTATCATGGATTTTGTACTTCTTGGAGAGAAACAAAGCAGCCAGTGACTTCGAACTGAAAATCAGTGATGGCTAGCAACAAACTCATAGTGTTGAAAGTGTTTAATATATTATGTGGTTTGGCATAAATGAGTAACCTATCTCTACTTACGTGGTGTTTTATTTCATGTGCACAGTGTGGCATGTTTCCTGAGGATGTGCTTCTTTGTGTAGGTACTCAGGCCTCCTGCTGAAGACATTCAGGATTCATCAGGCATTAACAATGCATTGGGAGTACATTGCCACATTAAATTTCTTTCAGTATCTTTAAGAAATCTTCTAAAATTTACTAGCACAAATTCGATAAAGTGCTAATTTTCTTTTGCAGATTCTTCGATGTGTTTAAATGAGTGAAAGAATAATTTATGAGACTCTTATTATATTTTGATCGTAAGGAGTACTTTTCCTTTGATGCTAAAAACAGTATTTAGTTATAATTTCTCAGAAGATTTACTCCTGGTCAGTTGTTGAGGTACAGGAAGTGGGAAACAACTTCAGGAAGTCCCAGCCAACATAAGGTTTGTGTGGCTGTATAGTTTGAAGTAATACTCTATATGGGGCAGGAAAAATTTTTCACTCTTGGTTCCTTTTGGAGTTGAGGCCTATTGCTAATTTTCTTCCTGTTTGTTGAAAGCAGTATACTTTATCAGACCTAGCTTTCATTTGGCTAAACAAGTGGTAATCTAACCTAAAACTAAAAGTAAATTGAGAAATTATAAATGAATTAATTGAATATAAAATTGTTCAATCATTTATTGTAAGTAACTAGCAAAACTCAGGTAGTATTTTGCACCACCATTTGCTTTTTGTGGTAAACCATCCTCACTCAGTAACAGCAACCATAGGAATTCTAGAAACGGAAACCTGAAAAGTAGTGTTTATATAAAAATGTTTACAAATCCCCCTCCCCCCCAAAAAAAAATAATAAAATAAAATAAAATAAAATAAAATGAACAATAATTACTAGATTTCCAAATGGTATTGCCAAGTAATCTGTTTCTTTGCATTTCTTCTCACCTCTTTCAAGATGAGGAAATTTCCTTTGTGTTGCTTGATTTGTAATCCCAGAAAACAAAAGTACTGAATAGTGCTGTCAGTTCTGTTGGGTGTTATTGTCATTATGCCTGCTGGCAATGTTTCACCTTAAATTCCAAAGACAACATGTTTTGATATTTTTTGCCACTTGTCTTTTAGCTTCTCCACATTCAACATGCTCCTGTTTCAGGGTTTCACTAGGTTATGACATATACTTTTTTTTTTTCTGGTTCATTTTAATACTCTAATTTACATATCCTGTTTAAGTATTATATTGGTTCCAATATTAAAAATGCAGTTAAGCTGTATGAAAAGCTGTGTGCAATATGAAATGTTTTGTGTTTTCTTTTTAGGCTTTCAAAATAGACCAAAATCCTTAAAAGTATTTGTTAATCCAAGCAGCCACAAACGAGAAGCCACTCATGTTTATTATGAAAAAGTTGCACCACTTTTTAAGCTTGCTGACATCAAAACTGATGTCACAGGTAAGTTGCTTCAAAAGCATAGTTTAATCTCGTGTGAAACAAGTACTTAAGCATGAAAGATAATTTAAATCTTTATTGACTTTGTCTGCAAGTATTGAATTTATATTTATAATTTATTTAATGTAGTTATACAATGCAATGTATTTTTTCATGAAAAAAATGTTTTAGTAATTCTGTTCTTCATTGAATAGCTTTCTCTCCAATAGCCATCAATACCAGTAATATATCTTTCATACTTTTAAACCAAACATTGAATAAAAAGAAACAAGCATTTAATGTCTAATGGTCTTGTCTACGTTTGCTGAGATTTTTTCCTGCATTCTGACAGACACGTCTTAAAATATTACCTCTCTTCCTAGAAGATCTATTGGTCATGGGAGCGAGGCTGATTGGAAGAACATGCTATTTCTAGGCTCTGACTCAGTTTCAGGGATAACCTGTAAGCCTAAGTGATTAATGGGATGGCAAGGGTAGTTCTCACCAGGCAGGCGGGCATGACTTGCTGTCTGGAGAACATGAAGGTACAAGTTTAATGTTGTAGTGATGCTACCTTCTGCTCACTAATAGGTTCTTGATATCAGGTTTGGATTTAAAGCTCAAAATTCTGCCAGACTTCTGCTTTATGTCCTTCTGGCTTTCACTGAATTTGCCCTTTGGCTATTTTATTTCATTGGCTTTCTGTAAGAAACTGAGCAGGCAAACAACGGATTTCTTAGTGCAGTAAAATAGTAATGATCTCGTTATTATTTCTGCCCCATTCTGTGAAATGCCTGAAAGTTACTTAAGTTGCATCAAATGTCGTCCCCCGCCCAAATTTCCAAGCATACAGAGAAATGGTGTTAGTATTTCCTGTTCCAAATAATTTTATATTCATAGCATTATAATTCCCTTTAATACACTGCTGTTCTTCGGTTATGCATTTCATATCCATGTGAAGTGTAAACTCTCTTGCAAGACATTTTAATATCAAAAAGTGTTTTTCCTGTGTCTGTTGTACTTGGTTTGCAAAACAATTGGTTCCAGATTAAAGATATGGGGTTTGTCTTGTAGTTATTGCGTAAACTTCTTGTGAAATCATGACTAGTTTAGGCTACGTGCCAGAAAGCACTCTGAGAAAATCTGATTTATGTATAAGAATATAATAACGCGATACGTGTTTGTATGAGATTTGTCTTGCTAATTTTATTACCTGTTTCTATATATTTTTAAATTATTTAGCCCACAATTTAAAGTAAAATCAAATGAAGATTAAAGACACAAAAAGTGTGAAAAAGAATTCAGTCTGTTAGAATTATGTAGTGATTTTTTCTTAAATTCTCTTAACTGACAAAGGAATATTAAAAGCTTTATGTGAGTTTTAATTCTCACAGATGCATTTTTCACCTGCAAGACAAAGTAGCATAAACAAATTATTAATAATGCTGTCTTCTTAGAAATTGAGCATAATGTTGCTTGGTCACAATTTAAAAATAAATAAATATATATATATATTTATATGTTATCATGCAGACTTTAGTAAGAGATTACTAACTATGTCATGTTTTAAATTAACTATTACTTAGCTGTTTTAAACAACTATTTAAATAAAATTACCCTTTTAAAAAATTCCTTACTACTGGTTAGTGTTTCTTTTATTTTTGCTGTGAACATAACCTTGTTTGTAAAACTCAGCTAAAGGCAGAATTAACTTGTGTAAGATTACATTTTTAGCTATGTAATGTCATCTGAAATCCTAAAGTGTAATATATCAAATATGTACCAACAGTTTTAAAGATTAATTCATAGAATTTAGCTATGATTATCGCTGTTAGTGATTTTTAAAAGCATTTTCCTATTTGAAGAAAAACAATTTAAAGTTTATTTTTGATTATTTTTCTTTTAAATTCTGAAAAGAAGCTTCTGTTTTTAGCTAGATAAATGTTTAATTGCTTAACTTTAAAAATAACGTTATTTTGCTAATATCCAAATACTGAAGTGCTTATTAGTTGCCTAACACTCCTCCTACAGGCAAAATGAGAAAACTACATTAGGGTTTTAAATGCTAGTGGAGAACTAAATAATTAAGAGATATGCATTTAAAAAAATAATAAAAAATAAAAATAAAAAATAATAAAAAATAAAAAACAGTGGGACCGCTTGAAAGTCTTGTTCACTGGTGACATCTAATAAAACTCTTAAGTGCTTCATTTTGAGTAAATATAACAGATTTTTTCCTCCAATTATTGTTATGGCTTTTATTTGTGATGTTGAAGTATGCATCTCACTATTACTGCTTTTCTGAAACATGACCATTTACTTCCATAGCAGTGTACAAAGGTGTATTATGTACTACAAATTGAAGGCTTCTCTACAGTTTTTATATTGAAGATAGTTTACTTCTAGTCTTTACACATATACTTCTTCAAAGCTTAAAATTCATACACAAAAATCCTAAAGCAAATTTGAATCTCTGAAGTGATTTTGAGTGCACATACAATGCAAGACTTTAAATATAATTAAAAACAACAACTACAACAACAAAAAATATGAAACTTGGACAATGAAGTGATGAAAGACAGAACTCTGCTCATCCCATCTCATGTTTTGCTAGCTGGCTCTTGGTGTTACTGTGTAGTGGTTTTGGCTTTTACATGATCAACCTTCTCATGACTTAATTTTCACTGTTAATTCTATTGGAATAATCTTTTTAATTTTATTTTTTTTTCCATATTACTTTGCACGCTAAAAATGCATTGATTTTACTGAGATTGACCACAGGTCTTAAAGGGTAATGTATTTTTACACAGTCTTATACAGTCTTTCAAGAGTTTTAGAGTTTAACAGTGCTGCTGTTGGGATATGACATTTAGAAGAACAATGACTCTTCTAAAAGTCCAGTTCAACAAAATCTTTCCCCAAATCTGGGACACCTACAAGTATTGGCAAATACTGATGATTGGCTTTATTATTTTAGAAACATGTTGCAAAATCCTACACAAACTTAAGAAAGAAAAAAATAAAGGTAAACCCAACAGGCTCCTAGTTTGTCTTCTCTTTCTAGCTTTGAGTCTTCTGCTTCCATTTATGCACAGTTACAAGCTGGATGTTTTGGCAAAAACAGTAGCCTTCTCCCCTTCACCCCCATCATTTTTAAGGCAGAATCACAAAAGAAAAGTGAATGATTGAGAACTGGGCAAATAACATTGGTTTAAACTTGCAGTGTGCTAAATAACATTAATATTATTTTTTTTCCTCCAGTGTTAACACCAGTTAATCTGTTGTTCTTATTAGCAGTTTTAATCCTATTGGCACTGGTCTGTGACATGAGTGCCAGCATTTAGGCATGTCATGTGGAAGTGTCCCACATTTTGGAGCATTGAACCAATTATATATCGCTTTTTTCTTTATGTGAGGACTGAAGCCTTAGTTTCTTGTTTTGCTACATTAGATATGGTGTTACAATGTTTTGGATTATATGATTCTCTTCAACTCAAAATCACTCAATTGCCTTCTTTTCCCTACCGTAATTTAGAGCTTTGGAACAAAATGTCTTGAAAAAGGAAAACATTTTCAATTAAATTCTGTGTTAGAAATCACTAAAAAAAAAAAAATACTATCTATGCCAATTATGTTACATGAATCCTTAAACTGTGAAAGATGTTCTTTGTTCCTCTTAGCAAAATTTGGTTTTCCTCCTGAATTACAACAAGGACCAAAATTTTCAAACATCTATCTTTTTTTTCCAAGTATCAGAATGACTTTTACATGTGCTTCTGTAGGTTGTCTAGCCTGCAGAGAACTTTTAGACGTGGTCTTTTTATGCATGTGTTGATTTTTTAAAATTTTTATACTTGACAGATATTCTATAAACAGTCGTCAAGTTTTTTATTGGAAATCTCATATATTTTTTAATTATTGTTTTTGTCACAGTGCTTCAAAACAGATACTGTGTTCCTCTGCCATTTGCTCATCAAATTTTAAATTTCTTGGAATCATCCCAAGACTTATGCCTAGCAGTAGTTCGCCTTTGTAATTTTCAAATTTCAGCTATTAGAAGCAAAGAGGATGGAGTTCCCATCAATCTGTGTCTTTTTAACTTCCTTTACTGATTTCTCTGTAGACTTGTGCCTTCTTTATTTTCATGTCCTTGTTCTTTGAGCGAATTAATATTGTAATTATAATTGTAACTTACATCGTTACATTAGGAAACTACCGAGCATATTTTCCTTTACAATATAAAATCTTACTTGCCATACCATTTTAATTAGATTGTACGCAGAACTTTCTAAATGTCATTACCTTCATTTAAAAAGCAGGCATTTAACCTAGTAACCAACTGTGTTTTCACAGGAAGATTTTATTTCTCATTGAAGTAGCGGTAAGGTATTTGAGTCTTTCTGCATCATTTTTGCATGGTGCACACAATTTTATTGGTTTTTATTTTTCACAAGCTCCACATACTGCTAGACATAGAGTTACCATCTTTAAAAACAACACTGAGTACAGTGATAGCTTAAATACTGTGCTCTGATCTTCCAGAATAGGTCCTGCATGAAAGAATTTCTGTAAGCAATACCTGAAAGTTATTTTATTAATATGCATTTATGTAGCAGAATATTTCTCTAACTTTAATATCAGAATAATTCTAAGTTTTCATTAAGAGTTTCCAAAACACCAAGTACTAGAATTTTGCAAAATTTGAAGTTATGTGCTGATAGACAATTTTTAGTGCATAATGTAGAGATTTTATCACTTTCATTTTGATTTTTCTTTTTCACAGAAATTAGATACTCACTATTATATATGTGTGTTTGGAGAGAGAAGCATTTTCTATTTTTGTAAGCAGCATTTGAGTAGTCTGTAGAAATACTATGTTATAGCAGGTACAGATATAGAGTGATTGTTTTAGACACCACGACTAATAATTTTAACAATATTTAGAAACACTGGAGAAAAGCCTCGAACTATGCTAGCACCAGGGACAGACAAGCATGAAAGATTAATGTAATTTTGCATATAATCATGCACATTCTTACACAAAAAATCCATCTGCAAGTGTCATGTCAGTCAGCAAAAATCTTTGATGGGTGGATGCAGCTGGGCTGTCTCTTCTGGCAAAGCTGGCCTAGAAAATGCTAAATGTAGTTATGATGCTTTGTGCCATCTGTAGTATGCCAGTTTATCCTGTCTTCGCTGGCATTTACGGTACTATGTAGGGTATCAGCAAACACAGAGACATCAATGTAGAGTGACAGATTCATTTCCTCCAGAGGCTATGAACTCTGGTGTATACTTGTGCCACCTTCCTCTGTGTGTTATATTCTGTTGTCACTGGTATTTGGCTTGATTTCATACTTCTGTGTTTAACTCATATTTTTGACTTGGCAATTTGCATATCCTAACACAAAGGCAATTAGATGTGATTGATACTGAAATAATTCAGTCTTAACTGAGGATACGCTTACATTTTCCTGAACTTTACCAACTGTGTCAGTGCTAAAACTTCCATTTTGATGCAACAAACATCTTCTCTAGTTTTCTGGATTTAAATGTACTAAATAGCCCTGTGTCTCATACCAGCTGAGTTTCCATGTCTTATCTTTTAGCTAGACTAACTGTACAACTTACCTTTTCAAATGCATTTACTGATCCAAAAATACATTCTGAACCAAATTACTGTATGTTCCTTATGCTAGAAGGAAAAAAAAGAAATCTTATTTTATCTAATCTTTTGATAACAAATAATGTCATTTTCCACAGTAACTGAATATGAAGGACATGCTCTCTCAGTACTGAAAGAATGTGAACTCCAGGCATTTGATGGGTAAGTTGATTAGTGGCAATGAATGTTAGTAAGCATCATAACATTAGTTTTTATTTTTATTCCATCCAAAGCTATGCCAGTAGGTATTTCATGAGTTATTCCATTTCAAATATATATTCAGATGGAAAAAATCAATACTAATTAGGTGCTTTATTTTTTTTATTACTTACTGAAAAAAATATATATTTTAGACTGATAAATAATGGTAAATAAACATAAAGCTTTCTTAAATACATTTCATGAAAACTTCATTCTGTATTTGCAGGAATGAAGCAAGTGCTTTGTACTTCACTCTATCCATTCAAATGCCTCTTAAGGAAAACGTTTTATCTAAAAGTTACCTGAATTTTTTGTTGTTGTTGTTTCCATTAAAAATTCTAAAAATAAATCATTCAAGCTTATTTCAAGTTGAGAATGAAATTTTTGTTCAATCATTTTTAAAAAACTTGGAGCTATGTGGATTAATACTGCAATCTTAGTTATTTTTACATTTATGGGAGTATTCAGTAATAAATTGGAATAGGTTTGTGTGCTGTGGAAGTCTAACTGCATTTCTCAGAGCTGTTATAAGCATATGCAGTGAGCTACACAACAAGGCTTAAGTGTTTTATAGACTGATTCAATTTTTAGTAGTTCTAGAAACTTACAGAGATACATGAGAAAATTTATCAGAAGGTGTATTTTAGGTATTTCAAATTTTGAGGATAATTTATTTCAATTCCATAACTGTCTTTTGGGGTGATGGTTGGGGAACCAGTTTGTCCTGGGAAGCAGATATGAAAGCAAAAAGGAAAAGCCGATCATGTATTCTCTTGCACAAACCTCTTCTGCACTGAGCCATATTTTATTGTTTTGTCTGTGATCGTTGGGTGCAGTTACTGGAGTACTTGTGTGAGGCATCTTTCTAGTAGCCAGATACAAAGGGAAGTAGGAACAGAAGAAACTGGAAGAAAATACCATGGTGACTGGATGTCTGAGGTGAAAAGATCCCCATCCTTTCTAAGTTGGTTGTTCAAGTGTGTATTTTTTGTTTGTAAATTTCTGAAGTGTTTGAAAAACGTTTTATAACTTCCCCAAAAGCCTGGCTTCCATCCATGTACTTGTTCACTAAAGCACAATAAGAACATCCTATTCAATATCTAACTTGGGATGCTTTTTTGATGCGAGGTTGTAGGGAAAATGAATTGCAAGGGTAATTTTTTCCACTGATGTAGCTGGAGGTATCTTGATGGTTCAAGAAAACACTTCGGTGTTTCCCAAATAAAATTTTAATTATAATTCTAGTTTATTTAAAATTAAACCAGAAAATGTATGGGATCTGTTTTGAATTGAAAATTAACTCCATAGCCATGAAATCATACTGCAGATGAAAATCTACCCTTTTAGCAATTCAAGTAGCCACCTGACATGGTGTCACTTCACTATTTCCAGTGAGTCTTGAGAAGTTTTACTCATATACTGTGCAGTGTTGTTTGTGACTTGGCAGATTCCAGTCCTTTTCAGTTGTGCCCTGGCTTCCTGTTCAGTTTTGTTCAAGTCAGCTACTGTATCTGTCCCTTAGTTCCCTGTTTACAATGTAAACAGGATAACAGTGCTTTCCTGCCTCCAAGACAGAACAGGATTTTATTCATTACAGTAGGTAAGTACAGTAAAATACAACTTCTGATCTCGAATTTCTTTCCAAAAGAGTTATGTTCCCTGCATGTTAAACAGTATATGAAGTAAATCAGAAGCTTTCAACTTGCAGTAGGGTGTTGGAAGTTCTTCGTATTTGTATCTCGGTGCTTTCTGTAAGCAATACTGCTGTGTTTTAATTCTTTGTCAAAGCTGTTTTTGTCTGGCTTCTATGTCATTTATTTTCTCTGATTTCTCCAGCTCCCACTATGTTTTGCAAGATCATAGACATATGTCATGCATCTTGCATATTTCAACTCTTTTGCTCTCCCCCCTTTTTTTTCGTACTGAAATTACCCATGTTGGCAATGTGCTTTTTCCCTGCCTTGGGGCCAAGCTGTGGTGAGAAATAAAGTGCATTTATGATGCCTCTGAGCTGCATTCTCTTGTTTGTACAGTTACAGAAATATGCAAGGTGTATACAGGTATTTCTTCCCTAATTAGGGGCCTACGCTACTATGGATTTTGTTTAGAGTAGCTTGGGTTAGTCAGACTTTAGGGAACAGTTGATTAAGAAACTTGTGTCTGATGGCTAGACAGATGTTTTTTCCTCTAAGAAGGCTTCTTCATGGTCTTAGTGAAATCTGTTTGCTCAAGGCTTTCTACTCCTTATGCATAGCAGGTTCTTGCTGATTAGGTCTGGAATCCCTGGTGCCTGATGGTATCTCTTGTTTCTGGCCAAAAAAGCAACTCTTGATGATTTATGTTAAATTAATTTAAACACACACACACACACACACAAAGTTTGCATATTTTTGTTATTGTTGTTTTGTGGATTCTTCATCTGTGTATAACAACAACAAACACAGCCCCCCAAAATTAGAAGAATATTCATCTGTTTTAAAAAGTATTAATATCCAGCATCCACATTTAAGTCCCTCTAGGTGTACAGTTTATCATGTTTTTGTTGCTGTGGCAGGGATATTTAAGCCTAGGTATAAAACAAGAGCTAAACCAAAAATGAGATAAAAGAAGATGATTCCTGATTACAAGCAGGAAGAGAATGGGCTCCAAATTTTCTTTCTTTCTTTCTTCCTTTTTTTTTATTCACTTTGAGCAGTGTTTAGATAGAAGGAAGTGGAAATATTCCTGAGAATTTAAATTTAAAAATAGAATCTGTGATAGTTGAATTTAAACATTTAGAAACATTTTTTATTAATTTAAAGCTTACTTTTTGTTTGTTTGTTTGTTTTTGTGGTTGAATTATCAGACAATTTCACAACTGCATTCATATAGATGTATGAAAGAAATACTTTAAGTGCCTCCTAAAGTAAACCTGACTTATGTATATTTTAAAGGTTTGGAGTATATTATTACCATTTTTATATTTAAAAATGTGTACCTTAATAACCTCTAACTTTCAGTCATACAGATTTGGAGAATCAAATTCTAAGTTACTTAAATAAAACTAAAAATAACAACAACAAAAAAAGACACTTGCTGTAACTGAGCTTTTACAGACAAACGCATTCCTCTCTATAGCCACAGCAGGTGGGAGTTTAATTACATGCTCCAGAAGCAGTGATTAAGTACCTTCATGCAAAGGATTGCTGGTACTAGGGTTTTATACCTTGCTAAATCCCTCAACTGCCTGCATAGTATCCAGGATTAACTGTTTTCAAGTATTTTTAGTTTTATTGTAATATTTGGTGAGTTGTTATTATAATGGTAATTAAAAAGCAGCAGAATGCTTGTATGGGTCAGTACTGAAAGGTTTGAAGAACTTCTCCACTGAAGCACTTGAGCACGTGCTTAATTTCTGTGCCTGTTCAGTTCTGTGGCTCCAGTGCGCTCACATAGCTTGTGATAAGGTGAGTTGTAATTTATGAATTGTTAAACACACTTCTTACTACTTGGATAGAAAGAAGCAGAAATAAGGATTCTTATATCTTGTTAGTTAATATTCACTGATCTGGCAGTAAAGTGCTAACAAGTCTTTAAGAAAGAATGTTTTTTAGCTACTTGCAGTGCTGTTATGTAGACGAGGTGTGGTTGCTGTACTGTCCTTGTTTGCTCAGTTACGAAACAGCTTTTGCATTTTTGTTTTGTAATAGGGTAGTCTGTGTTGGTGGAGATGGATCTGTCAGTGAAGTTGCTCATGGTCTGCTACTTAAAGCCCAGATAGATGCTGGAAAAGGTACAGACTATATACCAGCGCCTGTCAGAGCGTCAGTTCCTCTTGGAGTAATACCAGCAGGTGAGGCTAAACAGTACTGTTACATTTTGTCAGTCATCTGTTTTAAATCCCTCTGGCATGTTTTATAGTTTTGGCTACTGAAGGCAGTTCTTGGTGCTAAAGCTTCAGTCACTTAAGGGAACTATTGGATAAATGACCTAAATTAGTGATTTAGATTGATTACAAATGACTAGATTTTAAATCATTATGATAATTTATAGTAATGGCACAGATGAGCTCTTTGCCTAAAGGAAGTAGCTCTGGGAGAATAAAACTAAAATCATCTTCAGTTGATCCATGAGAAGATCACATTTTGCCCTTATTTGCCAACAGAAATGATACCAAATGTAAACTTTATTTTCTAGAATGTCTTTAACATAAGCCATGGTGATTTTGCTTCTCACTCTAGTTTTCTTGGCAGATTCTCATTTGGATTCATGCTTACAGTCTATTTTTAAATGGTGTGTTATGAATACATTTTTCAGATGATATTAAAAAAATACCGTGCACTCAAAACTGCTTATCTCTTCTTTATTTGTATAGATCTGAAAATACATAAAATATATATATATATTTTTTTAAAATACTCTTATTCCTTTCTTTACTTGTACTTAAATCTTGTGTGTTTGATTTATTTTTTTCCCTTCTCCACCAACATTTCCAATTTTCCGTTTTCAGTATTACTTGGACCAGCTAGAATTAGTAGAGGCAAGGCTGATACTGCATTGGTATCTTCCATTTGAAAGGGGAGCAGTATTTTTGCATGGAAAGTACCCCGTGGTGTGGCTGTTGATGTGACTGCTTGTTGTAATTTCTCAGGCATTTTTAACTAGTAAGGAAAAAAGCCCTGCAGCCAGGTGAACAGTAAATTGTTCTTTTCTGCTTTTTACTAAAAAGGGAGCAAGTCACTTCCAGACAGAGCAAGCATGTTTTAAGTGCTTTACTTTGCACTTCTGAAAGCAGCATTAAAAACAGCATCTAAAATGGTGGCTTCTAAAAATGCAAGATTTTACAAGCTTTTTTTCAAGTTAAAAAAACAAACAAACAAACTTGAAATTGTCTTGGGCAAAGATGCAATGATCTCAAAAATTAAGCAAATGAATTTTTTATCAGCAATTTGACCATCACTTATCACTTTAGGTGCTGTGAATGTCTTGATGGTGGTGAGACGGAATCTCTCCAGCTCTTTGCTCCATGCACTCTGGCTGTACTCAGGTCACTGTGCATCATCAGTAGTGCTTATTGTCTTCAGTTTGTCAACAGATGAGTGCTGTAATCAAAAGGGATATGTAGACCCAAAAGAATGGCACGTTGACTTCCTTGGAATAGACTTCCTTGAAAGAGCCTGAGACCAATTTATATAATGATAGTGTGAGAAACTTCTTAATAGTTTCTTAAAAATGTTCTGAAGCTTACTTTATTTCAATACTGTTGACATTTCAAAAAGTAGTTAGGTAAGTGTGATACTTGTGTACATGAAGATGATGCACCTTAATGGTCAGTTAATCTTTCCATCCCCATAAATCCATTGAACCAAATCATGAGGATTTTATGTCTCAGAATAGAAGCCATGTTATGGGATTGTATGCCTCAAATGGATTAAAATCTGGGTTTGGCCACTACTATTAGTAGTTAGAGCAGCATTTTGAAGTTTCAGAACAGTTGATGGGGAGGAACTGCTTTTGAAACTCTCACCTCCTGGACAGAAAGGTCTGAAGGGCACATTTTTACTAAAATCCTCTGCTGAGGTAGCGGACTGAGCTGCCTTATTCTGGTCAAAATCAAATGGATGAGATGTGGGGAAGCCTGCAGAGGTACTGCTGGCCATAGCAAGAGTGTTTGTTGCTATGGGAACTACTGCTAAGGAACTGTATGGAGGGGGAATCAGAGGCAGGGGAGGGGGAACTAGAAGGGCATTAAAAAAGCGATCCAGTTGTTGTAGAACAAGAGACAATCTGTATCAGATGACTGCGAGCCTTTTAGTCCTAAATGGTTCATTTAAATAAATTCATGATTTCCAATTAATTCGGAAAATAAAATATTACTGAGGGACTGTTAATTTCTGTGATATTTCAGGCAAAGAACCAAAATGTTGGTGCAGTTTTCATCAGAATTTTAGCTATGCTTGACTAGGAAGTCATTACATCACATTTATCTGTTTGGATGGGGGAGACATTAACAGCCTTATGAATATTCATGTTGTCTGGTTAATTAAGTTAATTGTACTGCAGAAGTGCTTGCACTTCCAAGGACAATTTTTTTCCCTACAATTTCTGTTTGCTACCTTCATCAGTCATGCTTTACATGACCTGCAGACACTTTGTCCTTACTGTGACACTTTTGTGCATTTCATAGGAAGAGTGTTGTAGGAAGTTGTAATGTCAGGAAACTGGGTGAGTATTTTGAGCAGAATTGTGGTTTTGGAATAATAAAATCTTGTTTCTGTGTAAAAAAAAAATAAATAAAAAGCTGGTGACTGAGATGCTGGAGTTGTACAGTTGAAACCTCTTTTACAGTAAATTGCATAGTTGGGGTGAGATCTCAAAATGTGACCCTCCTTAATTTGTGAGGAGTGCAAAGCCTAGACATGAGCATCAAAGAAGGCTATTAGTCTCTGTAGTGTAATACAACAGGGGTCAGGGGAACCGTCTTGTTATTGCTAAATAATATTCCAAGTTTACCTAGGGCAGGAAAGGTTGGAAAAGGATGGTTGACTTGGAAAGATGAATGATGGCATTAAAGTCATGATTTCACCATTTAAGTCAGCAAAGCTTGAAAGTTTGTATTCTTTTTTTTTTTTTTTTTTTTTTTTTTGAATAACTTTTATTGTTATGGCCTTGTTTATAAGCTTTCTTTGTGGCATTCTGTTTGTACAGGACATAGGTAATGAGATGCATAATTCAGTTGTCATTGAGGTCAAGATGCTGTTAGGTGTCTAGTAAGAGTTTTTTTCTGAAGTAGGTGGTAGTGCTTGCTACTGCAAAATTACTGTGCTGGTCCTGGATCTGAAACTTGTGGAAGGGCTCATATGGATGCAGCACTTACATTTCTGAACACAGGCATGACTTATTTCTTGGGAGTTGGGAAAGGGCAGGGTTTTGTCTTGTTTACTTCTGCAAATGTTAATGAGCTCCACAGATTTAAGAGAAGGGTGCAATTACTTGTGCTATCCTGGTAAGTAGGAATGTGATCTAGCTCTAATTAGTCAGCATGAAGATTGGTATTGATTTCAGCCCTGACCATTTGTTATCTTGCTGCCATCTATATTGATGAATTATTTTTCCTTAAATGAGGAATTCCAGGTTTAAGAGATACCAAGTCTGATCTTTACTATCCTGATCTTCAGTGACATACAAATACATAATAAACTGCATTTCCTGCTAGCGTATTTAGAGAAATTTTCTTTTGGACTAAAAAAGTGAAGATTCATGTTTAGCTTTTGGAGTTTATCCATCTTTCAAAGTACTTCATAAGCCAAATTTGCTGGGTTTATTTTTTATTTTTTATTTTATTTTTTTATATTAGGGAAAGGGGAAGTAAATGTAATGGTATAGTCACCTGTAAAATTCAGAGAAATACGTGAATTAAATTGCATTTCTGTTTGAATTGTTCAAAGAATCAAACTGCATGTAATCTGATTTCTTCTGTGTACCACTGAAGATGTAAATTTCAAAGAATGTTTTATGTCTATTATCCAGAGAGATGTACCTCGCTTATTTCCTTTACATAACAGGAGCCTGGAGGCCCTTAGTCAGAGCTTCTCTCTCTGAGGTTGTGAAGGCTTTCCATGAGTCTCCGAATTGCTTTCAGAGACTCAGGTGACCTGAGGGAAGTAACAGGTACCCTGTGAGATACTGAGATAAAATTCATAGTTATTTTACAAGTCACTGGAAAAGAAATCAAAGCATGTAGTGCTGCATAACAAAAACAAGATGCCTTTACAGCTATGTAACTGCGTACATCAATGTTTCCATATTTACTGTTGTTTTCTACCACTAATGGGAGATCAAAGATGTTTTGAGACATAGATTTTCAGCTTGGTACATAATACTTTTAAAGTGTGGATTTAAATATTGACTGCCTCTTGTTTGAAATGTAATGGTCTCTTCCCTTTCCTTGATTTTCTCTCCTCCTCCCCCCTACTTTTGACAAAGTTTAAATGCATCCATAACATTTAAGGCAAATTTATCATCCAGAATTGTCTACTGCTGCTGTAACATATTAAATTATTCAAGCAACAAGAAAACGATTTGAAAATCTGCGTAAATGAACTCATTCCTTTATGGAATGTTAGGTTCTAAATTGTTCATTTGTAATTTTTGTAGTTTTAATTAATGTGTTATCAAATTATTCATGCCTTACTCAGTACTCTATCCTGTCTGCTTGGCGGCAGGCCCTGGTGTTCTGTTTGTGCAAAAGTGGATCCTGTGGCTCTGCTACTTGGCCAAGTTAAAGCTGTTTTTCAATCATTAGTGTTGTTCTCATATGTAAAATTGACACGCTATAATCAACCATATTCATGGGTGCCTCTAAGAGCCTAAGAGGTAGCCTGCAAGGGGAGAAACATCTAGCTATCTTTGACTAGATCTTGTAGATTTTATTTATTTATTTATTTATTTATTGTTTCTGGGAAACTTGTTGTTTTACACTGGCAGGGCATTCTATTCTTCTTCCAACTTGGGAAAACATTCTGCAAATGCATCCTGTTAGATAATCTGCTTTCTATTATACTTTCTCAGTATTGCACTTCAGTATAAAACAAGACATTTTTAAAAGGGGATTGGTTAAAATTTAAAAAAGCAATATTTACTAAACTCTTTCCCTCCCCTCCCTTGTTTTTTTTATGGCACTTATTAAAGAATTTTCAGAGCAGATTTTATAGACCTCTGGAAATTTTTATACTTTTAATTTGTACTATTTATCATTTTTGCTGTTACCAAGACTAAGTAATTGGGAGGTTTTTTGTTTGTTTGTTTGTTTTTAATGCATTTATAATATATGCTTCTTGTCATTCTCAATATATCTTTCTTATTTTTACAATAGTTTATGTTTACATTTACAGGTACTACTAATATTTTGGCCCATACTCTCTATGGTATTAAACATGCAGTGACTGCAACGCTGCACATTGTAATGGGTAAATACTTTTACATACATTTTATCAGCTTTTAAATAAGAAAGCAGCATTTAGAAGTTTGGCTTAACTAGGTATTTAATAAACACATGATGTTATGCTATAGCGCTATAAACTCTACTGTAAGAATTTTAAACCCAAATGAATTTATCCTGATTTACAGGGTATTAGAATGTACCTGTATACCTATGTGGAAAGTTTTTTGCATATAGCTCAGTAACAATGGTTCTGGACCTCATCTTCTGATAACAAAGATCTGCCATGGAATAATGTCTGATTTTGGCGTTTGTGTCCTATTGCTGATGTTCTTTTAATGCAAAAAGTAACATTTTCCAGACTTGATTGTGTGAACTGTGTTACTCAGTATGTTATGCAATGATTGGTTGCATATTCATCTGCTTACTTTAATTTAATGTACCTGCTGCTGACAATAGGAAGCTATGCAATACTTTCTGCTTGACAAAGTGATTAGGATTGGACTTTTCAGGGAAGTATTGTCATATTTCTGAGAAATTATCTTTAGCTCTGTGTGCATTTCTTCTAAAAATGAATAGTTTCCATAAGAGAGCTTTATTAAGTAGAAAAACTGTCTTACTTGCCATTCAGTCTGCACAACAAATAGGTTTTCAAACGTGAAAATGCAATTATGCTAAAAGGAAAAACTAAGTTGCCAGTGGAAACCTTGTTTTCAGGACTTAGAAAGTATGAAATGCTTAGTTGAGGGATGATAATATTCTTCCTAAAGCATTTTTTCTTTAGGGCACTTTTTTTTTTTTTTTTTTTTTTTTTAACTAAAAAACAGAGAACAATGGGGAAGGAAGTTTCAGCCTAAATGTTTTCCATACTTTTGCAGGCAGCAGTGGAACTCTTTGCTATGTAGTTTAGATAGCAATACATGAATTTGCATGCAAAATCTGAACTTAAAATCAGACACTCAATCTAATGGAAACCACACAGGTTCTACTGCAGAAAAAAAACTATGTACTCCATCTTGAACAGAATTAGATATCTAAAATCTCTAACTTTAAAAACAATTCATAGAATCATAGAATGGTTTGGGTTGGAAAGGACCTTAAAGATCATCTAATTCCAATCTCCCTGCCATGGGCAGGGACACCTTCCACTACACCAGAATGCTCAAGGCCCTGTCCAACATTTGCAGCCTTTTCACAAAATATTTGTAATGATTAAACATTGTACTAGAGTAGTTTCAGAAACTCTTAAATATAAGTTTCAAATGTGTTTATGTAGCAACATTACATTTCCTCTGATAATGATTTTTGAAAAGTTGTAGAGTAATTGAAAGCCAGACCATGTTCAGCCTGATGAATTGGCTGGATTTTTGAAATAACAATTTTAACATTTTGAAACATCTGAACATTGTTCTCTGAATTGCGTACTTTTCCAGTTTTGATAATATCTAAATTGATTTCAGTTTTCATTAGTAAAACTTGACTTCCTAAGGAAATAAAAGTCTAGAGTTCTTTCAGTTAAGTTAGCTGGATAGGAAATGGTAAGTTGTATTCAGTTAAAATACAGATATTATTTGTAATTTCTGATCTTTGTCTGTGAAATCTTAGGTCATATTCAACCAGTAGATGTCTGTACTTTCAGTACTCCAAGCAAGCTTCTGCGTTTTGGGTTCTCAGCTATGTTTGGTTTTGGTGCAAGGACTCTAGCTTTGGCTGAAAAGCACCGTTGGATGCCCTCCAATCAGCGGAAGGATTTTGCTTTTATCAAAACACTGGCAGATCTCAAGTACACCATAAGTTGTTATATTTTTCTAATATTTCTAATTTTCTTGAGGAAAATCCAATAATTAATGTGGTAAAATATAGAGAACAGTAGTTTAGCTATCTTATTATCTATTAGAGATGCTAAATTCATTATATTCAACATCTTAAAATAATTTTAACTGAATAAAAGTTTGTGTAGCGGTCAGAACATTGGATTACCCAACAATAAATGTCACTATTTTACTAGGCCAGAGGAATGTGAATTATCATTTCTACCTCTACAAATTCCACAGGAAGACTGTCATGAAAACGACAGGTAAGTAAAACTGAGTCAAACAATATGAAATGTACAAAAGCATGCATCTTTGAAGGTTAAAAAAAAGTACAAATCCTTATTTTTGTTCAAACTTGTATATCAGGTAAAACAATATCTTAAAATAAAAAAGATCTATTTTGACAACCATGTACTTTCATACTTTGTGCAATGGTCCCTGTTTGTGGGACTACAGAGGATTTATTGCCAAGCAGTCTTTAACTAAATATTCCTCTGTTATTTGGTTCCATTAATACTTTCCTCTATTGAGATCATCTGTGTTTTTTTGTTTTTGTTTTTTTTTCCTAAACTAATATTGTTTATACATACGTTCTGAATTTACTTTAAATTATTTTACCTACATGTTTTCACTTGTTTAGGAAGAAGAAAGAGAAAAACAAAAAAAAAGGTGAGCCTTATCTTTTATTATTATGTAAAAATGAACTGTGGCTGGTTAAACTGAATTAATATAGAATTACTCTGTTATACTTAGGTAGCAAGGATCAATGGCACAAAATTCAGGGTCACTTCCTGAATGTGAGCATTATGGCAATCCCTTGTCTGTGTTCAATGGCACCAAGAGGCTTGGCACCTAATACGAGGTCAGTAGAGGTTTAGAGAATTAGTCATGTCTATAAATTCTGACATCTTACCTTAAGACCTTGGCTTTTCTGAGAATACAAGCGTGTGTTTAGGTAGTCTAGACCCTCTGGGATGGGGGAGGGAGCATGGACTGCAGCAGACTTGATAATCCCAGAAATTGTAATCAGTTTTTGGATCAGGCAAATAAGGTCAAGTAGTCTAACTAGAATAATGAGTGGATAATTGCTGTGATTAAATTAGTTGGCAAGTCCGACTTAAGCAGTAGTCAGTCATCTGTCATAGGTTCTGGCTATATGTAGAAACTTCATTCTTGGATTTTATTTTACTTTTTCCAATATAAAGGTGCCATTAATCTTTTGCTTTACAGCCAGGAAAAAATGAAGTATGAGTCTTTCTGCTGTCAAGAAGAACTGAAATTCACACTTGTATTCTGCCTTAATTTTGCCAAACTTGGGAAATGCAGCTTTACATGTAGGGTTTTGGAAAACAAATGAGTATGTAATCTGGTTGTTGACATTGATTCATTTTGCCTTCAGCTCATTGTTGAGAGCATGCTTTGTGGTGATCAAACAGCTATCAGGTGATAAATCTTTGCAGCTGATGTTTTCAGTGGATTGTAAGCAGAATAGCAAGTATGAACTTCATAAACATGAAAAACATGTACATGAAATACAACACACTCCCTCATATTAGAATTCAGAAAGTTTTCTTATGCATTATATATTCAGAAACTTCATATGTAGAACCACGCATAAAAGACTATGAAATGATTGTGGTTTATTTACATTTGATTATCTTAAGTGAAAATAAACATGCCTTGGAGCTGATCAGGTATTTCTCTTTGAAATGACTTGCTGATCTGGTAGGATTTGATTTGTTGAAAACAATGCAGAAACAAGTTGTTTTGATGAAGTTCTTGTTGGGAAGGTTTCTGTGCTACAGGAGTCCTACAGAAGTGCATATACTTCGTGATAGTGCTGTGTTGTTATCCCCTCTTAGGAACTTTGTTCAGCATTTACTGTTACAGTCAGTAGAAAAATTTTGAGAAGAATTCATAGAATCATAGAATATCCGAATTGGAAGGGACCCACAAGAATCATGAAGTCCAACTCCTAGGTCCCCAAAGAACCACCCAAAAATCAGACCACGTGTCTGAGAGCCTTGTCCAAATGCTTCTTGAACTCCAGCAGGCTAAGTGACACAACCACTTTCCTGTTCCAGTGCCCAACCACCCTCTTGGTGAAAATCCTTTTCCTGAATAGGTTTGAACAGTCTTGAATTGAATAGTCTTTTTAAGCTTTGCTTTCTCCTTCCATCTGTTCTGGCACCTTCTTCTCAGTGATGGGGAATTTTATGACAACTCCATGCAATTACTGCAGGTTTGAATGAGTCTTTCTCCTACAGTTGTTTAGTGGATCCCTCTATTTTTATATATAAGGAAGTCCTTTTTTACACTCTTAAAAATAATCTTAGGAGTGCAGTCAGCTGGTAGGGTAGAAGGAGTTGATGCTTCAGACAGGTAAATTATTTTTCATAGTGAATAATATCTTGACTGGAAAGCTTTCCAACAAAGGAGACAAATGTTGCACAAATTATTGGAGATGCAAGACCCGTTATGGCAGCATCAGCTAAACTCAGCTAGATTTCTTCACTCTGTCTTATTTTTTCCCCGAGAGCTTTTTGCCATGTGAAGATGTTTGAAGCAGCATGAAGGCTTTAACTACTGCATGGAACTCTACTTATACTACCCTAAATTTGCAGAAATATAAAGAACTGTCTAAACAATAAGAGCCATGTAGGATGTTTGTGTCTCACAGTGTGTTATGCCTCACTGCAGTTTGGACTTTCAAAAGAATTAATGAGAATTCTTAGTCATCTCAGGAAATACAAGTTCATAAAGGGGAATGCATTGCCTAGTAACCTGCTATGTCTCTTCTGGTAACAAATATGGTAAAGAGATGACTTTTTCAATTGCACCATTGCTGTTTGCTAAATCAGTAAACTAGTGCTATGCAGAGTGGCTTGATGAATGGTTATATAAAAATTATCTTTCTAGGTGGAGCTGTGTTGCAGTCTGAAAACATTCCAGTTGTAGTTGTCAAGGTGTTAGGGGCCTGTGAGTGGGGAGATATGAAGTAGTAGGCTGGAAATACTTTTTTCTGGAAACATTCTTAGCCTTTTTACCAAGCGTACCCACTGAATAAATAAATATATATATTCAGAAGATATAAAATACATAATTGCTCTATGAAGTATAATCTCAGCAGTGATTGGCATGTTCATCGGATAGGCTTGTTAAAAGTTGGTTTGTTTCCATAACTTCAGTGAGACTTAGGAATGGTTGTGTGGTGAGGTTCAGGTTGTTAGCTTCTGTGACAAGGTACAGTTGCATTGCAGAGTCTGTGAAATAATAGTAGCTCATTGATTCAGATTCTCAAAGGTGCTAAATATCAATGCAGTTGGATACCTCGTACCATTGAGTAAGAGACCACTGTCATTACAGTCTCTTCTTGATTAACCTCTAGTGTACAATGACCGTTTTCCACAAAATTCCTTCCAGTTTTTTAATTCTGTTCAATGTGAAACATGTAAATAGAACTTTTCAGAGAACTTCTAAGAGATCCTAGTCAGAGAACAGCATCTTGCTTAGGGCAGCCTGAGTGCTAACGGTGGAGGTGAGTGAGTCCATCTGCACTGGGTCATATAACAGGAATGTGCTTGCACGTGTCAAGGGAACAGCTACTTGGCATATCTCTGCCTCACAACATTTGTGGTGATTGTTATTATTTGTTTGAGTGAAAAGTGTAAAGATAAATGTGTGATTTTTAAGAATTCCACTTTTAAGTAGAAAAGCATTTTTTTTTAAATAATATGTATTATGTTCAATAAATTGTACATATTGATAAGGAAATACAATTTTATTACTACAGTGTGTGTTATAAATATAGAGATGCTAATTAACCTCAGTTGCAACATTTTAATTGATCTAGAGCGGTATGTTTTTTGTTTTGCTTTGGAAAAAAAAAAGTATTTATTTTTAATTATGACTATTCTATTAAATTGCTCTTGCTCCTAGGCTTTTGAAGAGCCTATTAAACTTCCAGTAATTAATTTATTTCTGGGAACTAAGTCTGTCTGCTTTTCAGGTTGAACAATGGAAGCATGGCTCTTATTGTTGTACAAAATACTTCTCGAACTGAGTTTATAAAACACCTGAAAAGATATGCCAGTGTAAAAAATCAGGTACTGTTGATTTCTCTTTGGTGATTATAAAAGAAACAGTTAATCGTGAAGATAGACGTGCTGTAAGAGTTAATGTTAGCATCCTCATAAGGAGACTTAGCTTCCTGTCAGAATACATTAGCCCCCTTTTTGTCTGATTTTTTTTTTCTTAAATCACTAGACTAATACCGATTAGCCTATTTCAGCCCATCTGTTGTGGTTTAAATTGTATTTTTGTTGTACCCGTTGTTTTATGGCTGTAAAGCAATTCCAGAACAATAGAGGAAATGCATGCTGTGTTTATATCTTGTGTAGTACAGGCATCAAGAACACAGACTGGGAGGGCATCATGCGACTCTGTAAGAAATAGGTGAAGTCCTTAATTTCTGCAGGTCACTGAATGTTATGCTGGCAGCATCAAGTTATGAACATGAATTTTAGCAGATGCATTCCATGTAGTTATGCCTGTTTGTAGAACTGTACTTCAAAGTTGTGGTCATCCTATTTTGGAAGAAAAAATGAAGCATTGAAATACAGTGCCTTACTGTAGTCCTAAGTATGTGTATAGTCTAAATATCCTGTAGTCACTCAAAAGTTTCGGGATTACGTGAACTCACTTTTACAGGTAGGTTTGGATTAGATAGCTATCCAGCAGTCAGAGAGTTTGGTGGAGAGTTGGCAGTAGTTCCATGTGACAGCACTAACAGATGCCTTTAGGAAATAGATTATGTTTTCCAGTTATGCCATAGCTACAGTCTTTGAGGAAGGTGGCTTTGCTTTTCTTTGCTTTTATGGTTAAAAATTATAGTTAGAAATTAGAGATTAGACCTTTAAAGATCACCATTTACTGGAATCCTGACTGGCCTCAGTGAGGGTGGGTTTACTGGCAACGATGAACAGATGATAGGAAAAAACCTCCTTTTGCTTTCATGTACTCTGAAAGCAGATGCCATTTTGGCATGTGAAAAATATACCACCTCACCTGTAAATTGAGCAAGTTTGATAGAGGAATGTAAATGGAACTTTTTTTTTTTTTTTTCCCTGAGGCATTATTTAGGATAAAAATAGTATGTTAATCCATAAATGTTAGCCAGATTATATAATGCTTCGTGGTCAAAGCTAGAGCTGTATTCTCATATACTTAAGTGCACGCCCCCCAAAAATAAATCTTTTTAATTTCAAGTAATCCAGTTTGTTGCTAAACCATCAGCTACAGATTTCATCTTTGTTTGACATATATTTGTGTTTGGTTTAGTTCAATTTTCCCTTTGTTGAGACCTACACAGTTCAAGAAGTAAAACTGCAACCAAGATGTAAAAGTGGGCTTGATGCCAAAGAAAATACGTATTTGAATGCCACTTCTGCAGAAGGAAATTACCCTTGGAATATAGATGGGGATTTAATGGAAGAAGCATCAGAAGTTCATGTTCGGTAAGGTGAAGTATTATGCTATGGACAGTATACCTATAATAGATCAGTATTGTAATCTTAAATGTATATTAAATACAAATGACACCAAAATGGGGTATTGTAAATACTGTAAGAGTAGTAACGCTGTGCTGAACCTCTGCCGTATTGCTTTGTGCCTATCTCTGGAAAGGTTTGTTATGCCTTCGAGACCTCTCCTTTCTGGTGGTTCAGCACCTTTCAGCTCCTCTCCTCCCTTTCTGCAAGTCGCTTTACCCTTCTGTTTGAGGGGAACAGATGTAGGCAAAGGTTGGTGTGGCGTGGGAGGAGCTTGTTTGGGTATGAGGATTGCTGCTTGGCAAGCCCTGTTTGCAACCTTAATGCAAACATGTAGTTGTTCAACTGTGGGAAACATAGTGCTGCTTGAGAATAGTGTCCCTATGTAGGATCAAAAAAAGAATATTAATACATGGGGAAATAGGACTATCGGTAGAAATAAATAACAGGCGCCTCATTTTTCTGCAGTGTACAAAGGATCAGTTGAAGGATCAGTTGAGGTAACGTTTTGTAAAATAAAAGGCTGATCATATTATAGGATGACTGAGAAAATAATATACACTTTTAGAGATTACCTTGTAGGAACTCTCAAAATGTAATTCACCTGATTTTATTCCATATCGCAATTCAGGCATTCTTGTTTTCCAAAAAAAAAAAAAAAGCCATTGCAAGAGCTGATGAAATTGATAGGTTGATTTCTTCACTTCACAGGGTGCATCCTCAACTTATTAATCTCTATGGAGTGAACACTGATGACCTGGAGAGTTCCAAAGCAACATGCAATTGCATGTAGAAGGGACACACTGCACATTCTGTATTAGAACCCTTTTCTTATCCATATGAATGTCTTTCTAAAATCTCAGTTTTGAACTCATTGAACTCAGTTGTAGCAAACGTTTATAGTATTTCTGGCTTTAAATTTTTATCAATTCACATATATATTTTTTATCAAGATATATTTGAAGAAGCATTATTAGACTTAACAAGAAAAAACAAAAAGTGATTATATGGGTTTCTTTTATAAATTTGGGGTTCTAAAAATGTCCATCAAAATAGATGAAAACTGATTTTTCTCTTTAAAATTGTTCAAGCTTCTGCAATAAATATAATATGAGGTATTTTTAGGGCTGCTGTTATTCATGTTATCAGGTTACTCAGTTCAAATAGAACTAGTGAGTGGAAATACAGAAATGCAGTCAAAATGTGGATTTCTGATCAGTGATTTCCGTTTCTAGGTATCGCTTTTAATGTTGCTTTAATATGTTTGCTTTCAAGTTTTTTTCTAGTCAAACAAAGGAAAAAAGGATATGCTGATGAGTTACACAGCTTTTCTTTGGTGAAAGTTATTTTAAAGACTACTCTTTGTACAAGATAAATATTTAACAATGCTTAATGTATACTGAAGGGAGATATTGGAGAACTGGAGGGATATTAAGCATAGATTTTTTTGTTGCTGAGAATAAAGTTATGATAAATAACTGAGTTATTTGGGTAACTATTTTTATAATATTTTGCTAATACTTTTATAAGTGATTTTTTAGGTAACTTTACTACAACTGTTTGAGATGAATGCAAATTAAGACTGTTTCTGGAAACTGTTTTCCTTTGAGATGATGAAAAGTAGCAGCCTGTTGAGCTTGTCTGTCTACAGGGCCACAGGAGTAATGCATGTAGTTACTTCTTTCAATTATTTATTATTATTATTTATTATTTTGGTTATTTATTTTAAATTATTATTATAGTTAAATATTCACAAGCAAGTGTTCACTTGTCTGTGAATTGTTAAGAAAAAGGCTGATGCGTAACGGTGTGAAAGCTGTGCTATCTCATGTCTGGAACAACTTGCTTGAAGTTCTTTGGAAAGAAGTTAAGTATATGTGAAATCCAGTTTTTTAAGATTTTGTTAAATCAGGGTGTAAGCCTTTACGGGGGATCTGTATTTTACTTGATTTTAAGTCCTGTGAAAAATTTTTACTGGTGATAAGCTTGATGAACATGTGGTGTTCCTGAAGTATTGCAGATGGTTACTTGTGTTGTAAGAACAAGCTGTTACTTGTTGGAAATCTCATACAGTTCCTGTGGACAAACGTGGCTGGCAGTAAAGGCTGCAATCGGACAATAAAATGCCTCCTTCATAAGCAATTGTTACAGGAACCTCGCTGCTACAGTTTTATTCTCTGCACTGGAGTTAGTGACTACAAAGCAGGGTCACAGCATCCTTCAGATTGAATGAGACCTCATCAGGGCTCTAGCCCAGCCTCCTGCTCCAAGTGGTCCAGCTATGAGATAGACCTGGTTATTCAGGGCTTTCATCTAGTCTGGTCTCAAAACCTCCAAGGGTGGTGATGATGACACAATCTCTTTGAGCCCCTGCTCCAAAGCCAAGCTGTTCTCATGGGGAAGATGTTCATGACATCCAGGTGGAGCCTCCCATTTCAGTTGATACCCGTTCTCCAAGTCACAGTGAGTAGTCTCCACTTATGCTCCTATAATTGATACTATATTGCATCAAATATTTTAATATTTGTGGCAATTCAAACTAAACTTCATAAAGCTGTCTGAGAAAAATATTCCAACTACATGCAGTAGATTTAACTGCTTTTATTACATAACTGAAAATTAACAAAATTTTTGGAAAAAAAAAACAAACAGCATTCATGTGCTTAATTTGTTGGGATTCTCTTTATTCAAGTGAAAAAGAGTGATGCTTTATAATCTTGCCTTCATCAGGACAGTGTACATTCATTTTTTGTCAATCTTGTTTATAACATCTAATTGATTTTTTGCTTTATAGGCTAAAAATAGGCATCCAACATTTCCACATTAATAATCAAATCTGAATAGAAAACATTTCAAGGCAACATTATCACATTTACTGACTTATGTGAACTATTTCAAAGATAGATGCTTTAGTTTTGTTTCTTTGCATTGTTTGTACTAAAAAGAATTTTAATGCTTTTTCCAGTATTTGAGGTATATTTATATGCTGTAATATCAAACAAATTTCTCTTCAAAGATATTTTGGTTAAAGTGCAAAAATTCACTAAAGCCATTCGAAGGATAAACATTTTGTATTTTCTTGCAAGTCTATGAAACATATACTTAATTCTTCACACTTTATTTTGATTTTCTTTTTAAATACATAAACATTCATTTGTCCTTAATGTGCTGAAGATTTTAAAGAGAAAAGTTACTTTAGCATACTTGAGAACCACAAGTTTGGCACCAAATCAAGTGAAAGGAAAGTACAAAATGGTCCCCAATACCTTCAGAATCTGTAGACAATCTGGCTTTTATGGCACCAAATACAATCCATTAGAAAAATTGCTTGTTGAAGGCACAAAGTATTGCTTTTGAGTTGCAGGCTAATTTCCATATGGTGGTGCAGCTTCAAAGTGTTCGTACACATTACGTTTGTTTCTCCTTGCAGTTCAGAAACTCATCAAGACAAGGCAAGAAAGGCCATATTGCATACTGCTGTTGCAATAGATCCAGCTATTGATGACATTGTACATTGTCCAGTTGAACTGGGAGCAGTCACTTTTTTTTTTCCTGGATTATACTATTTATTTCACCAAAGCTAGGTGGCAGTGCAAACTTATCCAGCTGAAGAAACTTTCTGTAGTAGCAGAGCAGTGATTTGAACCATGTTTCTATTCCATCATTTGCCTTTCCAATGCGTGGCTTCTGAGGATGCCAGTTTGGATGGTATTTATCTGTAAACTTCACAAGAACCTAAGCTAGCTCTCCAAATGACTTACTAAATGCTTTCAGGTGGAGGACTGAAAGATAACATTTGGCCCAGTACAGTTGGCATTTGAAGTGTTTTGGGTACATCTGTTTCTCTACCGTGTGAAGTCTTTCTTTCAGATACTGGAAGAATAACAGTACTAAACACTACTATGCTAAGTATTATAGAAAATCTTCAAATAAATAAAAATAAATATTTGCTTATAAAAAACAAACCTCAGATAGAACTATTTCACTGCAGAAGTCCAAAACATCATGGCGCTGATAATTAAGGAAAGGACAACTAATTCTGTCATTTTTGTAAGTACCTCATTGAAAATGGCTACAAATTATGATGTCCAATACATTATTCTTTCTACAGCTGAGAGAGGATCGTGTACTGTAACCATACAAAATTCCCTGCTCTAAATCCACCTTTGACTTGCCTGGCTGTCTAAGCCTCTGCAATACTGTAGCTGTGTCTGTGAAATCAAGCTTATGAGGGGTTACCTTTAGAAGCCTGAGAGAGCTTCTGATAGCGGTTTTCTACATCTGTGCACTCTACTTATGGTCCTTCTATTGGTTTAAGCTACCTTACCCTTGTAAAATTGTCAAAGCAAGATGAGGGGGGATTTCTTCTTGAATGTCTAAACAAAATACTATTGAAACTTGAAAATGAATAGAATAATTCATGCTATTATGCTTGAGATCCAATTTTCTAAGATTGGTCAAACTTTACTTTCTAAGAACTCTTCGTTTTGGTAACTAATTATTCTTTCCTTTATGTTTAGTGTTCTGATGTTTGAAACCAGAGATGATATATATGGTATTTCAAATATTATTAAGACTTCAAAACTGAAACTGTTTTATCATTTTCATATTAGAAAAATAACTGTACATTAAGGTGTAGTCTTCCATACAGATGAAGAAAATAAAGTGTATTTTGTAAGAGCAAGTGAGCTCATGACCTGTTTTCCTTTCATTGGTGTTTCTTCTGTGACTTAACCTGAAAATTAATTCTTCATTTCAAACTGAGCTTTTATTTGCCCTCTTAGTTGTCTTTGTTCCCACTTGTAAAACTCCAGCTGTCTCTTTCGTTCTTGTCCTGAGGGACCGGTTTGTATTGCCTTTTGAAGAAGCCAATCTGAAATACATAATTTTGTAATCTGTTAGTGTATGTCAGCAGATCTTTGCTATCAAATATAAACAGTATAACATGAACTAAAATAAAAAGCTTACTTAAAAATTTATTTAAAACTTATTTAAAAAGTATGGTGCTTTCGAATGGATGGTATATGCCATTGTTTTGTCATTACCAAGTAATCAATTGTTATTTATCAATTAAAAAGGAGTTGTTTTTAATTTTAACATTCGGGGATGGGTTATACTCTCCTGCTATGAGGAGTAAGAAAAAGTGGACAGTGAACTGTCCATATAATTTCTTTTTTTTTTTATAAATGTGAAATGGTAAAAAGGTGTTCCAGTTTCATCTGCTTCATTTCTATACTTCCCAGGAGAAATGATGAATGAAGAAAGTCTGCATATAAGTAAAGGCAGCAAGCTCTTAATTATTTCCTAGAGAAGCTGCTTCCTTCATAGTAAAATATCCTATGATAGTAAACAAAGAAAATTATTTATGCATCAGTTTAAAACGTTTTGCTCTGGCAAGAAACTATTTCGTAGATGATTTTGGATCATGTGTCAAGGAGCACCACCCCACAAAAACTAATCATTTGATACTAAATTATATGAATCGTTTACAAACAATAGATATCACCTCTTCCTGTTTTTTTTTTTTTTGTGCTAAAATGAAGGAAAATGAGGGAGTATTTTTGTAAAAAACAGTACATTAGGAGTTAAGTTTTTATAGAAAGGACAGATCATACTAAAATACTGTTTTATCTTTTAAAGCTGCATTAACAGATCTACAGATCCATCAACAGCCTGAATTCCTTATTCGAGAGCAACTGAGAAATACTGAAAACCTACCTTCCATAATAGAAATGAAAGAAGCAAAAACAAGGTAACGCCAGCTATTAAGCCTATTCCAATAATTAGCACAGTAACGTGGTATTTTGGCTTTTGGTGGTGCACTCCTTCTAAATAGACCTGTAAAGTGGAAAATAAGTTTAGTATTATTTTTTTTATTTTTTTTTGATGCTAAAACAAACTAGAAAAATGAATTAAATTCTCAAATAATTAATGCTGCATTCATTCTCTGTATATAGATATGTACAAAATTCCACCATTGCTGTTTTTTTTCTAGTTTAACAATTTTATCATGGATTCAGTAAGAAATTTCTTACATATGCTACTTGCTTGTCCTTGTGTAGTTCAATAACTTTTGCATTTTTTTCTGGTGAGGCTGTTGCTCTGACTTCGAACTTCAGTGCTGATACATCATCCTGATTTTAAACAACAACAACAAAAATCACACATCTTTTCAACACATTAATTCTTACCCAGCAAAAATGGTAACACAGCTGCTCTCAAAAACAGAATCTCACACAAGCACACATGGCTTCATGCCTTTTTCTGATCACAAAACAAATTAGTACCAGAACCTGGAAAAAAGCCCAGTTGGGTTTTACTTAATACCACATCCATGCTGCTTTTCTTAGAAAATCGTAATTATGAGTTGGAATTAAATCCCAATCCTACATAACCCAGCCAGAATAGGCAAAGTAATATATACTATAAAATTAAGTGATAATCTAAAATACATCTTTTTTGGTGGTTTGCACTTTCATATAACACTTCTAAATTTAGCATTGAAAAAGATAAAATATGTACTACCTATTCTAATGCTACTGTTTGTCAAAAGAAAAAAAAACAAACAAGAAATTTATATGCAGACAATACAAATACGCCTTGAAATATGCCTTGTAAGTATGAAAAATTCACATTACCATTTCTAAAAGTGAAGGAGTAGCCTCCAGCTGCAACTGAATGGTTGCTTCTTTTCCACTTTCCATGTTTCCAAGCTTGCAAAGTATTTGTAAGCAAAGACTGTCATTTTTCATGCAGTACTGTAGAGGGGAGGGAAAGATTACAACTGAAGTTTATAAATTTTATCTTTGTGATATTAAATACACTCAGGAACTGATTAAATCAAAAGCTCTATGTTTGTTCTTTAAAGGTCACAGTGTAGCTCTTTACTGTCATCTCACTTGCAACCCATGAACTGTTACATCCTAGGTGCTAAAGAAACAGTACAAGGTGCCAAGCTAATTGTTATAGAACCTAACAGGTCATTTTTTTGTAAAGGGATGAAAAATGGTGACTGTAATAATTTGTTTATATGTTTCTACAGTTATTTCAAATTAGCTTATACTAAGAATGATGTATGACAGTGACTATGATACACAGCAAAAGTAGCATAATTGATTATTTCTTAAATACTGCAGTGTGAGACGGCATTCATACACTGACAGCTAGCACTATTTCACCCAGTTTTGAAGGAAAAAAACAACCAACAACACATGCCTTTACATGGTTATATTCTTTGTCCAAGACTGCAAAGCCTAAGTTCTCATTTGAAAGAAACACTTTTGATACTTTAGGGCAGGATCACCCTCAAGCAGTGTTTGATGTTCCTGTAGTATGCTTACCTGAAGCCCCATGTTAAAGTAATTTTAAAATGTCTAGCTTCTTTTAAGATGAAAGTATTAAAGCTGTACTTTATTATCAAGTTCTAGGACATTGAGAATTCCATGAGAACAAACCCTTGGAAATGTACCACTTGAACAGCTCTTCTTGTTTGGTCTACATAGTCAAGTATCTGATCACCAGCAAGGATAAACTCAAACAGGCCAGGTATGTATGATACTGTCTCAGCCTCCCAAATATTTTTAATAGGAGCTTTCTGAGCCAAAAAATGATTTCTATATATTCTGTAATACTCAATGACTGTCAGTCCTGTTAACGTGAATGTTCTCCCTTGAAATTCGCTTTTATTTTTAGCATTCACAACATCCTTTAGTAAGAAGTTCCACCATGAGTACTGCTTGCCTTTCATGATACTTTTTTGATGTTGAAAAGGCAATGAATGTTTGATCTGCATCATCTGCACAGTAAAGACTCTTTCCATATACATGACTTTCCGTTTGTCATTGAATTTCATCTGCTGTTCTCTTTGCCCACTCATTTGGTTACATAACACTTCTGCAGTTCTTTCTAGGTGCCTGTCATCCATACCCATTTCAGTGACATGGCATTAATCAACTTCCTCACCTCTTCCACTAAGTCACTTATGACTATGCTGAACATATCACAGGTCCCAGCACAAATCCTTGGAAGACTGCTCTGGTGACCTCATTATATAAGATATACCAGTATCTTTAGGCTCATTCATACAATCATTCAGTTGCTACTGATGCTAAAAGATAGACCTTACCATGTGTCTCTTAGCAGCCTTTGAAAAGAAGGTGACAACATCCTTTAATATGTTTCCAGCTTTTTCTGTTGCATTACAGTTTCTGGGATATTTATTGTAGGAACATTGTCCAACTGTTGTCTGGAAACAAAAATATCACAATCAGTGCTTGCTTTTAAACATCATGTAATAAACAGAAGACAAGTTTCTGAAAAGCCAGAGCTTAAAAAGAAGGCAACATTTACTTTCAGAATTCTAAAATACATGGGCTGAAGATTGTCCTAATTTTGTTCACTCTGCTTCACCATAGCTAACATACTTCTACATTTCCCTGTTGCACAGAATGTTTTGGGAAGGAAATATAATAAGCTAGAAAGGGTCTTGAGGTTTTTTGCGCTCATTTGAGTCAACTACTGTGGGCATATATAGACATAAGGCATCTGTTGTACCCTATTTTAGCTGATTCTTATGAATATATTAATGTTATACAAAGGAAGGACTGTGTACTGTATGTTCTGCGTAACAACAAGTGTCTGTTTTGATATGAAATAACTAAGGGTGATGGACTAATCTTTAAAGAATTATCCAATGCAGAAGAAATATATATATATATTTTTTTAAATACACTATACTCTGGTACTTATTTGTAGGAACAAACTGGCAAACACAAAACACAGATGCATGCCAGAGACCAAGCTTTGCACAGATGGATCCACTGAATTCAGTGGCACTCTACTAAGAACCTAAGCTACTAGGTAGGTTTGAAAGAAAGTAATAGAAATAGAAATTTAATACACACTTTGTAGCTAGTCCTGTTATGCTATGTTTTCATAGAATTTCATAGAGATAATAAAATACTAAATAACCTGTGCTTACCTTGATATCCAATATGTTGAATAATTTGAAGTCATCAGGTGGAAAAGCATTAGGTATCATTATTTCTAAGTTTATATTTGGAGCCATACTTGGTCCTGCACTGATAACCTTGTGAGGAAGAAAGTTAAACAATTTAGATTTAATTCATGGTAGCTATTCAACTAACAAATATATTTATATAAAATGTATGAACTTTACAGAAGTGGGTAGCACCTGCATTGTTATGCTGACATGAAACTGAATTCTGCTAGGAGCTGTTTAAAAAGATGAGTTGCTTGATTTATTCTGCAGGCTTACTGAATACTTCACTTCTCTGAACCAAATGAGTGGTGTGTACTTTTGATGACTGCCCTGAGGTCATACAGACTGCCTTCCGGGAAAACGTGCAAAAAGAACTAAGAGATTAATGCCTATCTCCTGCTTTTAATCCATTGGAGACAAATCTGATACCTATAGATCCTCTTATAAGTAGCTCCTAGTTTCTTTTGCTTACTCTAACATAATTCCTTTTAAAATGTTTCCTAATGGAAACAGTGGCAAGTCAGAACTGCTCTACCACTTTCAATTTTGCATGTGTATTTCCTTTTCTGACCATTCAGTGGAAGAGTGTTCAGGCCAAACAAAAGGATTCTAAGAGGGATTAACAGCCACTTTCCATCATTAATGCCTAAAAATTGCTTTTTGCCCTTGTACTTCTAAAAACTTAGTGACCTTACTGACTATGCAGACTGTTTTTATATACACTGAAAATCTAAGCATTAATCTTCAAAACGAGGATAATAGGGTTTACAAAGAAAAGCTCTTACATGGAAAGTGAAGTTGATATTCTCCTCCATACAAGTAAGTGGTGACTCTTTCTCATTTGTTCCATACACAAACGAAGCTGGTGTTACAAATCTAAAACGGTTCAGAAATTATGTAGTAGATTTGATATACAGCATTAACATAACTTTCTGCTCCATACTATCTCCAGTAAGGTTAATTCTAAGAAAAGAATTACCTGAGTTTGCAGTTAAGTAAAGCCTGGAACAGAGTAGAAGGCCTCTATTTTTGTACAGTTTATTTTAAAAAGGCAGATTAACCAGAAGTTACAAACCAAAAACTAATATCCATGAACATACCACAACAAACCCAGAATATGGTCCATGGTAAGCAAGGCATGCGATGTAACAGTCTAATTTCACATTGAGAAAAGCATCTCTGGAGCAGAAGGAGCTATGTTTTGAGAAATAGTTGCTCTTCTCTTCAACATCTAACTGAGGTATCTCTTGTTTCCTTACCGGCTTTCAGTTCTATATTCATCTCCATCTTAAGTTATCAAAATTAATTTGCATTTTTCAGGACTGTTTGTTCCAGAGGAACAATAAAAGGCATCTAGAGAAAGTTGCTATAAAAGTCTGATATATCTTTGTTTTCTTCCTGAGATATTTAATTGGATAGTCAAGTAAAATACAGCTGCAAAACTCACTGTGTTAGAATTAGTAACTGATGCCATCTGTTACTGGAGTAATTGACAGAATATCTATTTTAGTTCTTAGATTAGCATTCATTTATCATACTCAGTGTGTAAGACCCTATTTATGCATTTTTTCAAAATTCTTTTGTGGCTTTGTGTGTGATTAAGTCCTTCAGTGAGGTTTCTCACACATTTTTTTGTAAGAAACTGATGTAAACATCCTGCCCAGCTCTTCAGTTTTGAAAAAAACATTTGTTTAAAGAAAACCAAATGAATTAGTACTGCTATGTTGTTATTAAAGAAATGCCTACTTCTATTTAAAATATTCCAGTTCTCAAAAAATACTAGACAGAGACAAATCCAAAGCACCACTGATACTATTGGTCTCATTCCACAATACTGGAAACAAAACCTTAGAAGTGGATGGGGCAGACTGCAGAATAGCTGTGCCATCTCACTCCCAGGATTTTCCGCTACCCTATGCCTCTGCTTAAGAGCTTTGGGAATTCAGAATAGTAAGAAAACAAGTTTTATGGACATAAGTATCACAATCGTTGACTTACCCATGAGCATTTAATTCAATCTCGTACTTCAGAGGTACAGCTAAGGTTAGTGTGTTATCCAGTAACATGTTTTCATCTTCATTTTTGCTATAAAAACGGTGAGAGAAATATTAATATAAAATGCAATATCATATGCTATGCATTATTTCTATCAACAAATTCCAAATACATCTTCAAGCTTATTAAAACAAAACCATTTTATCATTAACAACGTATTAAAATACATTAAAAGATTTTATACAGGCAGAAACCTAATTTTTAACTAAGCTGTGTTTTTTTTTTTTTAATTTTGTTTTTATTTTGTTTTGTAATTTCCCTTTCTCTATAGTTTTTGGAATGGATGTTCTTTCTTGCAGTCTTTCCAGTGTTCTCTACTCTGTTTTCCAAAGCTGCAAATATTTTTCAATGAGCATTTCTTATTATACATTACCAGCTAGCATTAATGATGATATTGAGGTCGTCATCTGCTCTGGTAAATGAGCTGGCATCCAAGAGGAAACTGAAATCCAGCTGCAGAGCCAAAAAAAATAAAAATGTTTATATTAAATAATAGTGTGTCTTAACACAGTTTTAATCAAAATATTTTCTTAAATTCATTTAGAACTTCTCACTCTTTCTAAAAAAAAATCCAGATTAAGAAAATACTTGCTTTTTGCATCTTCCAGTCCTTTTCTATTACCTTTACACGTTTGTTCATAGTGTTAGGTCAACTTGTTTAGAACACCAACCACAATCATGTGACACACAATTCAAAAAACATTGTCCCTTAATTAATTCAGAAATGTTCACGTAACTAATTTTAAAAGGAACAGGGAGATTCAGATACCAACACAGTAACAGATATCAGTTGGGAATGAGGGAGATTTTGCAAGACTTTTTTTTTTTTTTGTGAAATCACAGTAACATACTTAAGGTGTTTTAAAGCAGGAACTTCATGCATACCTTACCTTTGATTTTTGATCGACATACGAATAGCCAACGCTGCACTCAAGTTTCACTACATGAATTTCTTTGTCTAGTACTTCACAATGTATCTGTTTTTCTTCCTAAAATGATGGAAAATTACTAGTGATTAAAATTACTTCTGTCAGACATTTCCAGTTACATGCACAGACTAAAATTGGTTGTTTTTTTGTCTAAAATAGGTGTTTCACTAATGACATATAGAGAATATCTGTAATATTCACGACTACTTTAACATATCTTTACATTGACTAATGCATCCCTTTAAATCCAACGTCTGAAAGGTGTGGGTGATGGACATTCTTCACAGAGCACTGTGGGATCATTTAAAAAGACGGAAAGTGAGAACAATTCGATCTGTGACTTTTTCATAAGACTGTATGTGAAAAAGGTCAGATTAAACAAGATCTTTGTGATCACTGGAAACACATTTGGAAAACAATTTTTTCTTGTATTTTTTACTATTATATCTTGTTACCGATTAAATGGCACCTATTCTGTGGCTTATGTAGCTAAGCATGTAAGAATGTTAAAAGTGGTTTTGTCAGCCATTTTAGGGTATGTGAGGGGTTAATTCTCAGTATCTAAGGAAACTCAACAATCCATTATGATATTTAGAAAATGTCTGGTTGAGAAATAAAAATATCAAAGGATTACTCTTTGACAGATTTTCTTGTACTTACCAATTCTAAAACTCGAATGAAATAAAGGCCTTTGGGGACTTGAATGTGGAGGACAGTTTCATATGCATCATCTCCGACATTGTGCAGAGAAACATTCAGCAACAAAGTCTTCGTACTTCCAACAGCAAGATAGGTCTTCTTATCATAAGGTCTATAAAAATAAAGATCATAATATCAGTGAAAAATTATTCTCTATACAGATTATAAGAAAAAAAAATCTCCTGTTCCTTTAGTTAATATCATCTGGTTCTGAAAATGCTGAGCTGGAAATCACTAAGAAAGCATTTATTCACTCCTCTTAACTGAAGTTATGATAACAGATGATGGTCGACTGCAGCACTGTGCCTTTCAAGGCCTGAGGTTATTAATGTGAACAGTGTTATCAGACCTATCATGTTTCTGGCTTTCACAGCATAGGGCCTTTCCTTTACAGAAGAGAATAGCAATATGCTACTGCTGCAGTATTTTCAGATATTATTTAAAAATCTGCTCAAATTAATACGTCACTGGCCACAAGGAGGGTAAATGATGGTGCCTATCTTGTGATCTATGTAATGTTCTGTAATCATGTTACAAGTCCAGACACCCTATGAGGGTCTAAAAGTAAACTTCAGCTTGACATTAAAGTTTAATTAAGACTTGTAGAAGGGTTGCCTAGAAATAGACATTTATCAGATACTCTGGCTCGAAACCAAAGCATTAGTCACTGAACACCTTTGGGAAAGAAGCTGGCACTTAGACAAGCAACAGAAGGTAAAAGCACTGCATAAGCAGATAGGTTCCAAGACAAAAGCGAATTAAAGAGAAACACAATGTTAACATTTCAGTAGCTTGATTAAATTTAGGTTACATTTTAAAGTTATTTTACTACTTATATGCTTAGCATTCACTCCTCTTATACGCATTAAAGCCAAGCTCATTAACAAGACACCATCATAAAGATGCCTCCCAGCTTAACACACAAGTACACAAAAGCACCAGGTGCACATCTGGGACTAAACAAAGCTGAACCAGAGCTTTATCCTGGTAATCATATTTCATTCTTCATAAAAAAATGCATGATGAAGACTAGAAATTTACAGAGCAGGCCAAAATCTGAGCTATTTAAACAGAACATGATAGTGTACACATGAAGACTCATAACTCAGTAAGTAAAGCATTACATTGACACTGCTATTTGATTTCATTCTTTTAAGACTGAAAGTGTTTGCTTTGCTGTTCAAGGATAATGAATGCATTCTGTCTAGACAAAATAAATTAATGCTTCACAGCTAACTAGTTTTTAATCGAGATACCAGGGGCACAATGTAATTTAAGGTGATACTTCACACTTTATCAAGATATTTAGCCTATTTATTTACACTGAAAAGCTGCTACCAATACCTAATGCCAAGCAGGTATGTTATAATTTATTTTCCTTTCTTAGAGCTTTGTAGTAGTTACAAAATTGCATTGCTAACATCACAAATGGAAATGCTGCACAATCTTTCTTTCTGAAAAGTTTATGGAAAGCGTAAGAAAATGAAAGGGCTTAAAGTTTGTGCTGTAGGCTATGCCTTAAAGTAGACAGGAAGATGCTCATCTTCTGAAATCTATGAAGATGAAAAAGCTTATGCTTAGGATCACTCAGGTGTGATTAATCAGTATTGTGTGTTTGCTATCATCTTTTGGTGTCATTTTAGGTTGTGCCTCATATGAGATAAACCCAGTATCTCGATTAAAGTAGGATCAACTTAAAATTACATAGGAAAATCCAGGTCTCACATAAAGCACCAAACTCACTGAGATGCACAAGAGGTACAACTTTTCTGTCTTTGCACACCAATAGCCCACGTTTCTTGCTTCAAAGTATAATATTGAATAAAGAAAAAGGTTGTGATGATAAAATGTAATTTATAATCAAATCATTAAAACATATGCTGAAATGTTGGTACATGGCTTAAAACTTTCTAAATATGATGCCAAATGGAAGTATCTCTCACAAAACATTGCTTAGTGTAGTAGAGATTCTTCAAGACAGTAATAATTGTAATACTTTGAAAGTGCCTTAATGATCTTACATAATAAAAGCATTTAAACACAAAACCTAATTGGAAGGAATGGAAAAAATTGAAACACCCTAAAAGGGATCTCAAAAAGTGTTGGGCTGTAAATGAAAAAAAGCTCCCAAAAATATTTTTTGAAAAATGTAAGCTAATTCATGTAGGAAAAAGAGTCAAAACCTTGCATAATACTCAACTATCTGGTGTCTCAATCAGCAGTATAAAAATGAAGATGTAATATTTTTTAAGTAAACGAAGAAAAGGAACCACTTAATTATTTATAATTGAAAGGATAAACATAGCAATGTCTTAGTAGAAAATTTAAGTATCTTCTTTGTACAGTGCAAGTATAGTACCTTCATAAAAGCAGCAGAAATAATTGAGTTGTCAAAATATTGGCAGTTACAAGGTCTACCTATTGAGTGTGCATTGTACTCCATATCTTAGCACATTAACGTATGAACCACATAACACAAGTTTATCCTTTTGTCAAGCTGGTAGTACTTTCTGAGCTGTAAAGTCTTCTAATTATGCAAGAACATATGTACAAATGTTTACATTTCTTATACATTTCCTGAAGCATTTATAATTTACAAACATTCTTCAACTAAACAGGTTTTTCTTCCTCATACGTTTCTGAGAGTCCATTGTCTACTTTTGCAAATTCATTTTATATTTGAAAG